AGTAGAGGGTCAGCGAAAAAGAGGAAGACCCTCAACAAGATGGATTGGCACAGTGGCTGCAGCGATGGGCTCAAGCATAACAACGATTGTGAGGATGGCGCAGGACTGGGCAGTGTTTCGTTCTGTGGTGCATAGGGTTGCTATGAGTCAGAACTGACTCAACGGCACCTAACAACAACAATAACAACCAAAGCAAAAAATTAGAATACATTGTTTTACATTTTTGCAAATTTATTTAATGTCTGCCTTAATAGGACACAGCTAGATTCTCATATGTGCTTCTTCAGTCAGTCTGTTGCAATGTTTTCTTTTTTTTTGGCTGAAATTTATGAAGAAATCCAGTCTCACACATATGTGTAGTTGGAAAAGGAAGGAGTATATTAATATCTTTCAAGATAAGTGTGAATATATATTCTTTGACTCTGTATCAAAACTCTAAAAGTATTGCTTTCTTAACGGTTCATTGCAGTGTGTAATCTGAAACCATATCAATGAACTTTTTGTATTTTGTTATATTAAAATCCTTTGGTTTATTTTGCCCTTTGAATTAATCTTTTCCTCATGCATGATTTTGTAACATCATGCATTGGTCATTTGGAAAATTCATCAACTTATGCAGATCTTCAGTTGTTGACACATTTGATTATACAGTATCAGCAAATCACGTTTGTTAATATCACCACCTATCTCATCAGAAAAGTCATTAACTATTGAGACACTTTTAAGCTGACGGTGGCAGACCCAAGTTTTGCAGAATTCTAATTTTCACTTGAAAGTTCAAATTTTTACAGTGGAAAGAAAATCAGGTGTTTTCCTCGAAGCAACAGATTCATTTCACTCATTTTCAAGAAACCATCTGCCAGGTACCCTAATCTGAACAGCCATTTTTGTCTGATACTCATTTTTTTAAGTAGAAATGGTGCTGCTAGAAAAAAAGCAACCAACTTAGCTCTTAATCGACAAGTGCCTTTTTTCGAGACAACAATCATATCTTGGTATGCAGCAGAAGTGTTTTATTTATACTTCCTGTTTCCTCCCACAAAGTACTAAAAAGATGTGTACTTCAAGGTTGAAGTTTAATAAAAATAACTTCTACTGCTTCATCAAAGACAGTCTTAAGTGAAACTGGCTTTTACTTGTTTTAAATACGTGTATATGACATTGAAACAGTTCAACGCAACTGCCTAGATTGGTGGTCAAATGCCATCAGGTTTTCCCTCAATTGCTTTTACACCATCAGTGCAAATGTGAAAACAGTGGAAAAGGCAAAAACTACCTTAGAATTATGGAAACAATTGTGAGTTCACAAACCCCTTGAAAGGGTCTTAGGGATTGCCGTGAATCACACTTTGAGAACTACGATTACAATGGTCAGGAAAATCAGCTAGCATTATTAGATGACTCCGTATATCTGGCCCATTGTTTGGAAAAGCTGAAAAAGAAAATGACAGAAGAGGTTTGATTAATATTTAAAATCTAAGTTAAATACTATTGTGTTTTTTTTGAAAATGGTACTTATTTCTGAGACTCAAAATTGCTTAGGATAATCTGGTTAACTTTTAGAAAGATGGAGAAAATAAAATTGCTACTTCTCATTACTGCCCTTTTAGGTCAAGCCTTTGCTATTTTAGTTAGTAATGTGTTTTCCTTATTTTATAGCTTCTTCCTTTCTTTTAAATCCATTTTCCCACAACTTTTTTGAATTCATTGTATTTAGAGAGATCAGAACTTTTTCGTTTTTACTTTAAGGCTTTGGAAAACATGATTTTATTATTGTATAGTTAAAAAAAAATCATTTTTTTCTCCTGATAGCAGAATTTATGCTATAGAAACATTTAGTGATGAAAGTGAATATCTTTGTAATCCCACCCTACTTCTATTAACCACTTTGACTCATTAATTTAATCAGCAAGTAATGTTTCAGCACCTCCTTTGTGCTGGGCACTGTTTTAGGTACTAAGGATTTAACAGCAAATAAGACAGGCGTGACCCTTCTTATTAATAACAATTATAATGATGACAATAACAATATAATAGTAGCCAACATTTACCATGCTTGTTGTATGGCAGATATTGTGCTTTAGATGTATTATTTTATTAAATCCTCACAACAACCTGATGGGGTTGTTATCCTCATTTCACAAATGAAGAAATTAAGGCCTAGAAAAATTTACTTATTTTCCTGAGGTCATGTAGCTAATAAATGGTAGATTCAGAGCTTAAACTGAGGTCTAAAGCCCAGGTTTGTGATTCAACATGCTATGCTACCTCCCACGTTTTCTATTCATAGGCTAACATGTTCTTAAGTTTTTTTTTTTTTACTAAAATCGGATTATTATGCAAAATATTTTGCATCTTGTTTAACTTAATGATAAAAGTTTGACATTATTCCATTCAGTACATATTAACAATAATAGCTAACGTTTATTAAAGTCTTACTGGGTGCTTTTATATGTATTATTTTTTATTATTATTTGTAGTAACTATCCTCACAACAACCCTATGAGGTTTTACAGGTTCTTCATCATTTCACAGATGTGGAAACTGAGTCCCAGAGAAGTTAAGCAGCTGGCTCAAGTTACACAGCTAGTCAGTGGCAGAGCTGGAGTGCAAACCCAGGCACTGTGGCTCTGAAGTCCACAGTCTTAATTATATCACCACACTGCCTCTTTTAAAGTATTCTTGGAATAGATGTTCCATAATTTATTTAATCTCTGAATGGTCAACATTTTGAGTTTCTAATTTTTCTCTAACACAAATAATCCGTTTGTATATTGTAATATTTTTGTAGTTATGTGTCATATAGTACAATAATTATAGTTTTAAAACTGCAGTTGTTTGTGATTCTCAAGGTGTGGATAGGAGACAAAAGATAAAGGACAGATAGTTTTAAAAGTCCTTTAGGTGATTTTTCTCCTTTTAAAGAAAGTTTTTGTTATTTTTACAATGTCTGTAAGAATATATGCTCATTATACAAAATTTAAACATAGAAATAATGTCATGTAGAAAATAAAAGTACCTTACAGTTTCTGCTCCATCATTGAAAAGAATTTTTCCAGGTTTTTTTCCATATACATACATACACACACAAGTCCAGGTAATTGCTTCTTTAATTGAATTTCTTTCATACTAAATTGTAAACCCAGGAGTCAAGGTTTTTCTTTTTATACACAGTTTCTGGCACATAGATGTACAACAAATGTAGATGAATGTTGATCTGTAAGAATGTTGCAATAAAGAACACTGGAATTCACTAATGATGTTTTTGATTTGTAAAGCCCAAAATCAAACCCATTGCTGTGAGGTCGATTCCAACTCATAGTGACCCCACGGTGGCCTAGACATTTTTAAGGTATAAGAAGATACTCTATAAAGAAGGAAAAGAATAGAGTCTGAATTTATCATTTCCAGAGTCCCTTGATATTTTTCTAGTTCTGCATTTCATATCTATTTTACTATAATGTTTTATTTGTACTATATTCCAGTAGTCTTTATTAAGATGTTAGATTAGTGATTCTCCAATAGTACCTGTTTTTTTTTTTGTACTGTATTATGCTAAATTTTTATTAAACTGGCAGATCAGTACTTCCCCGATAATATCTGTTAGTTCTTAGAGTATGCCTCCTATGAGCCTAAGCTATACATTTTGTGTATATTACATAAATATATAATCCTTGGTCTTAGACTTCAAGAGCCTGTAGTAATGATTCCCACACCAGGGTTTCTGGACTGTTAGGAGTGTTTTTGGAAACTTAAAAAAAATTTAATGAAAATTATATTTATATATGATAAGTTATACATGGTACTTTGAACTGGTTTGTTCCAATTCGACCCCTTGCTGAGAATTTGCATTTCTACCCCAGATATACTGAATCAGAGCCTACATTTTAATAAGATCTCCAGGTGATTCTTATGTATACATAAGATTTTGTTATATGTATAACAAGATCTGGGTATCTTGTTAAAATGTAGAAGTAT